TTTTTTTTTTGCGCTAGGTCGGACATCTCCTATCCGGTCCGAAGTCCGACCAGACATCCGGTCGGACATCCCGGACGGTCAGGGGGGTCTCGAACGTCCGATAAAACAACCTAGGTTAAAAAAGAATATGTTCCCTTCCAAATTCCTGTCCGAACAATCATTTTTAAAAATCATACTCCCTAACCTCTTGGGCGGACAGACAAGACCTATGACGTGCACTCGTTATTTTTATCCCCTGCATCGACACTCCCTTCAGCAGATAGACTCAGATCTCGAAGTGCAGCTTGAGAATTCAGTCGAACATTGGAAGGAACGACAAGTCCAGTTGTGAACGGTTTTGTACCTCTGGCCGGTCTCTCCCAACAAAAAGTGATCGAGTGAGCATGCTGCCATTGTGTCTATCAGTTATTTTCCATATTTTCTCCCATGTGTTATTATACTGTTCTAGGAGTGACTTTGCTTTCCTAATCGGCAACCGTATTCCACTAGCACTTGATTATAATTCTGTGAATTTTTTTCAACCACCACCCGAGAGATAGTTTTGCTCACCCAGATAGGCACACCGCCGGACAGATCATCATCGGAGGGGCGAAGCACTGTGTAACACTCGGTTCGACGTACAGGGGGTTTATCGTACGGTCGTACGTACGACCGTATGAACGGCTGTACGGCCGTATGTACAGCCCTGTACGAAAAAAAAAAAAAAAAAAAAACGAGGAATCATTTTGTTTTTTTATATCAAATTTGATTACGAATTTCAATATGACCCTGAGGCAAAAGTGTTTCAGTTTATATTTTTGCAGAACATTGTTTTTTTTTCAGATTTTTTTGAATTTGTTTGTTTTGTTTTTTTTCCGTACGTACGGCCCGTACTACCATATGAGCCCGTACGTATGTACGGCCCGTATTCGTACAGGGGTCTACATAGACGAAGGATAAGAAAAGTGTCCACATCAACATGCACGAGGGGGTCGAAACTGGTCTTTGGGTGATCTTTTCTTCATCCAACAAACATGGGTTCCTTGTCGTCAATGTTGACACCGCTAGGAGAAGGTTGTAGATCGTTTTCGAGCAGTCATGATCTTGGCCAAAAGCTTTTCATAGGTTGTGAGGACAAACCGTTGGCGATGATCTCGTCACCATGTTTGATAACCTCCTCCAATAACGTAAGCTCTTTCTCTCCTACTCACCTCATGGTCGTTGTAAGCCACCACGTTGACCGCCTACATTCAAGCAACTCGCGGAATCGAATAACATCATTTTTGTTATTATAATAATCATTTCGAGGAAGGGGTTGCACAAGAGGCGGGTCAAATGACCAAGAAGGACCTTCGTAGCTTTCATCAAGGTTTTGATTGAACCAATAAACCGAACTTTCCTTGAGCAACTTGTTGTCATCATCGCAAAACTCCTTGTACAGCATGCCCGGATTATCTCCAACCATAAAAAATTTAAGCAAGTGCGGTTTCGAAATACCAGTAATGTCGGACACAGCGCATGGGTCTACTATACTTATCCAAACCGCCAGTATATCGAGGAAAGTAGATTTGGAAGACTTTTGTGGGAGCTCATGGGCTCGTCCATAGTATAAGCGTTTATGTCTTTCATTTTTTCGAGAAGACGCTAAAAGTAGCATCAACGTTTGTATGGGTATGTCCAAACAACATGAAACCTGTTTCTACCTCTTGGAAAACTTTGAACTTAACTAAGAGTGCAGCTAGCACACATATTCACTTGTTCATGTTTTCCCGCTAACAATTATCTGCTTGAATGCGCAAAAACGATGGAAGTGACGTCCCGCTCGTTTGAATTTCGACGAGGGTTCTCATAAGAGAAGTAACGACCGTGTTCGAATCGCGTTTGAAATACGGAAATCACGTGTAGACATAAGTACTAGGGTCCCTACCGTGTGCAATAACACCTGTCAGCAGGGTTGTCGAGCCCCGGCCCAGGGCCCCGGCGGGGGTCCGGGGGTCCGGGGGTCCGGGGGTAGGCACCCCCAGCACCGGCTCCAGATCCCCCCCCCCAACAAAAAAAAAAAAAAAAATCATAAAAAATCCAAAAAATAAATAAAAAAGTAGTGGGGGCTGCGCAGCGAGAGCGCGCACCACATGTGCGAAACCCCAAAAATGAGGTTTTATGCCCCACCCCGGAACCCCGGGGCCACACATACCACTCGTAGGACCGGGGTAGCTGCTGGTGCGGGGCCGGGGGCGGGACCAACAGCCGGTGGGGGCGGGGTTGAGTGTTGGCGGGGGCGGGGG